CTGGATAGCTGGCCAATCACAGCACACCTCGCTTTTCAGACCGATGAGCTTTGTAAAAATCAACGTGTTTCAGAAAGGCGGGGCATAGAGGAGAAACAATAATGTACAGTATGTGGAAAATAATGTGTTTTTTTAACTTTAAACCACATAATCACATTTGATTACACCAAATACACAAAATAATGTTATTTTTAGCAACATCATATGACCCCTTTAATAAAAAAAAGAAAAAGTTGAAAGTTAAATGATCTTCTGTATCATATTTTGTTCAATTAAAACAACAACAATTTTCTTCGCCGTTAAGATCACTAGCACGTTTTTAATTTGAAAAACAGGTTTTGTGTTGGAAGACAAACAGAAATATGAAGTAATAGAATAAAACAAATTAGATACATAAACAACATTAACTGAAAAAAAGTAGTTTGTGGTCCGTCCTTTAGATTATATGTAATAATTCATTGAATGCGACAACTTAGACCCTAAACAACCTTCTCCATGTGTCGTGCCCAAACAGGCATCCATGTATTTGTGAGAATCAGACAGGGCCAGTGTTTTTAGATTGAAAGAATAAATCGTAGTTTCACTGTTTGATGCGAGAAGTCTGGCTTCCCAATGGAGAGCCCAAACGATCTTCAGTGCAGATCAGAGAGGCTTATATTACCTGAAGAAAGCTATCCAATTAGTATTAATTATTCATGAATCGAACATCTACTATAACGTAATATGTTGCTTGTAGAAATGTTGTTTAGTCAAAATACACAGCTATTTTTCAAGCAGTCAATGGAGCAAGATGCTTTTTGCCTGTGAGCGTTACAGCGTCTACCATCAGGGGCTAACAGGGCCGTACTAAACAGTCAAACCTTAACCCCTCGGTGCAGAAAAACCCTGACATTATGTTTGAACAAATTGAAAAGTCAGTGTACGAGAAAGCTTTTCTTCTACTCTCCTTCTCTATTGAGCATAGCATCTGTCTCCACCGATCTAGTCTTCGATCTGCGCAGATTGCAGGTCGTCTGAATATCACGCCAGCTTCTCTCCACTGTAACCTCCATCTCTGCCAGACGAACCCAGCTGCATAAATTCTCATCGGCTTTTACGGTTTGTATATTGAAAAATTGACACTTAAGACCGGTTTTGTGGTCCAGGGTCACATATAGTAATATGCATGCTAGTAAGCAACTAGTTAATAGTGAGAATCGGTCCCTAAGTGTTACCCTGTATTTATACTGAGTGGGAATTCAGGTAAATGAGCCAGATAGGGTTCAAGGATTACATAGTAGTTACATAAAAATAAATGTAACATTTTAAAAACTGTACTTGACACATAGCACCACATTAGACTGCAAATCGCTAATCTTCAAACATAAAACTGATATATTTGTAAAACGCAAATTTACATTTAATAGTAGAAAATCATATAAAAGATATTTATTTATTGGGCTATAATTTGGCACATTTTCGCTGAACAGGTCAAATGTAGGCGATTTGGAAATTATAGGCTGAAATTGAGAAGGCTAAAGTTAAAAATGTGTCCTACTTTATTTTATACTCAGATAATTGGCCCGAGTGCCAGTATGAAAGATAAGTCAAGTGTGTAATTTCCGCTCCACTACGCAGGCTGCAAAAATAATGACTGTTTTCCAATCAAAAAGCTCTATGGAGAGAGCTGTCCGTTATCGCTTAAATGTTGCTAGCAAAAAAAATGTCGACTGTTTAAAAAAAAAAAAATAATGCTCTTTGCAGCCTGATAGTATATTGGCTAACCACCCAAACACGTCTATTAAACATCTTTGCAGGGCCTTGAAAAGAAAATCTAAATGTGAACACTTTCTCTCTGGTTTCTCTATCCGGTCCAGGTCTGGAAAGTGCTAACTAGCTGATTAGAGGGAGACAGCAGAGGGCCAGGGAAGCACAGATGCTCGGTGTCTATGGAATAACCCTCTCAATTACAGCATGGCCAAATTGAAACGGATCCCGATTTAACTCTCTTTCCAATACACCTCACGGCAGCTTTCCCAGTCTGTCCATCTCTCTCTCCAGCGATGGACCTCTCTGAAGCAGCACGTCCAGATAGGCTGCCAGACGCAGCGGGGAGACCATCGATTCTCAATAACATCACTAATGACTGCACACTGCCTGACGCATGCTGCCATTACTCGAGGTGAGGGCCGGGACCGAGGGCAGGGCTGAGCGTGGCACACCAGATGGAGCCAGTTAGGGATGGTTATGAGGATGAATTGTTTGTCAGTTGGGGAGAAGAAAGATGAAGAGAGCGGGAGAAAGAAATGGCAAGTCAGAAACACAGGCACAGACGGTCAATACTAGAAGGGCAGTAACCACTGGTCGTCTTATTTGCGGGACAGACAACCTTTGGTCTGTTCTTTTTCGGTTTCTTTCACTTCTTCCTCCTCGGCTTCTTGATCCTTTGCTCATTAGCAGGCGTCACTCCCATTAATGAGTCCCGACCGCGGGTCAATACAGCACTAGCCTCAGAGTCAATACCAGTTACCTGCAACACAAACACTCAAAAGCTGCACTTGCAGAAAATCAATATCGTGTTGCAGGCCTGTCCCATCACCACTCTCATCCTACTCTCTACAGCACAGCTGACATAAATGCTCTCTCCTGTAAAAATATAGTAAATAGCAACTGTGGAGCACGCTCAGTCTGTTTATGCAGGTTAAAATTCAGTTCACATATTTATATGATCTGGACCGTTCTAGTTTTGTTGTTTGTAAAATATTTAGCAAAGAATCTTATCTTAAAAGCAATCCGGTTTGAATCTCATCTCTTTTTTTTTGGCATAAAAAATGAACCCTATTTTCAAGGAATTTTTGTAGCAAATGTTTAAATTGTAAAGCACAACTGTAGAGTGCAATTTTAAGTATAAATCATGGTAGTATTTGCTGTATGTAAAAATAAATAAAAATACTAACGTAAATGTTGCATTAATTTTTGTAAGTATATGTAATTACTAAAGTAAAATTATAAAAATTAATAAAAAATATTATTATTGCGATATAATTATTAAAATATAATATTTAAAAAAATATATAATATTTGATAAATCATTTTACAAATCATTGTATACAGACAGGGTGATTCTCATTACAGTATTACAATATAAAGAATGAGAATTTCTTTCGAAGTAGAGGGAAAAATGTGGTTCTTAATCATGAAAATAAATGGAAAAAAATACTTATGGCTATAATAGGCTTCGGTTCTTATGCCCCAGGCAGTTCATTCATGCTTGTCTATGAAACTTTGCACACTTCATCAATACGTCAACATTCAATGAGCCAGTCTCGAAGTCTATAATAAATAGCAGACAGGTATGCAGATATAAGGTCCAACCTTTATTCCATACATTTTTAAACCATGAATGTTCATTTTCATTTTTTTCACGCCTAAAGCTCTACTTGTTTTGTATACAAGAGTCTAAGAAAAACAACTGCACAACACCACAAGGTCGACAGAAAGAGTCTATTGCCACCCCAACCATTCCAATATGTTTCTCAGATGTCCAGGTTTTGTGGCTGGAGAAGTGTTCACTGCTAAAGCAGTTCCTTTATGACCCGGAAGTTTATAGCTGTTTGTTTCATTGGCTCTTCATTAGACAAATGAATAACAGTTATCCAGGCTCCCACTTTAGAACTCCATTTTATAACCGTCCAATCAGAACACTCTTAATCATCTTTGCATAGATTGCACCGCCATGACAGCACCCCCATTCGAGTCCTCCTCTCTGATTGGACAACTCCGTCACCACGGTTTTCAACCTGGAAGTGGTTCTGTTTCATTTCATTGTTTTTTAGAAACATTTGAAAAGCCTAACAAATGTACGATGTCATTTCGTTCCAAGTAATATCAACAAGATATTTACAATATCTTTAAATTTTACATAAACCAAACAAGAATATCGTAATACATATTTGTCTGCATATCTCAAAAAGAAAATCAAGCAAACAAACAAAACCCTCTCCAAAATGTAACTTTGTACATGGCCACCGCTGAATATTTCCAGGTACCATAGAGCAAATCAGCTGAGATCATACCAATTCAGATATGTAGACATCCATATCCAGCAGCTCACTAGGATAAATACAGGGCAGGGAACGAATGAAACAATGCAAATACATAAAAAAAAGTCTGTACATGAGGGATAGGAAATGTACAAACAAATTTCAGAATGTCTTTTCACATGAAAACTGAAAAGGCATCGGATTAATATATTAATATCACATTTCCGGTTGGTAGTTCACTTTTACGTCTTACGCTACCACGAGTTGTAGCTACCAACTCTTTTCCCCAACTCCAATCAATTAAAAAAAAACTGTTGATGTGCTTGTTCCAAGGTACAAACATTTGTACAAATTACACATATCTATTTATCAATTACTCTACTTTGTGTGAAAATAAGTGCATGTTGCCAGTGTCCAACTCAAATGAGGCATTCTTCTTTCTGTATGTTACCGTGCCTCCACTTCTTTGGGGTTGCGTGACGGTGAGTACTCCCGAGGGTCCTGGGTGGTGATTGGCGTAGTCCGTCTTGGGGACGCTGGTCTGGCAGCACCAGAGGGTACCAGAGGAGGAGGGGCACTTAGTGCTGCAGTTGGGGGTGTCCGGTTAAGAAGTCCGTTATGTCCTGTTGAAGGGCTAAGCCTTGGGTACGGCATCCCACCAAGGTGCGACATAAATGGCGGCATGTGGGGTAAGTGTCCTTCGATGGGTGATTGGTGAAGCTGGTGGAGCCTTGCCCGATCTATTTCCTCCCTTAAATGCAACCGTTCCCTTTCCTCAGCCTGTTGCCTCAGTCTCTCCTGTTCCCGCCGAAATTCAAGGAGGTGTTCGTGGTGGGAGTAGTCATGTGGCTCCCGATCCCGATAGAGCCGTTCTGGATCGTAGACACCAGGGAAGCGGTGTCCGGGCTCAGAACGCAGCTGGAAGTCCATACGCCGTTGAAGGTCAAGGTTTCTGTAAGCCTCTCGTAGGGGATCCCAGCAATACGCCGGATGAGGAAGGCGGTCTCGACCTGCTGCGAGAGGGCTGACTCCCATAAAAGGTGCCATGCGGGTGCGTTCAAGTGCATTCAGACTTCCCATTTGATGCATGGCACTCAGAGTGAGCGGCAACGAGTGTGGCATGGGGACGCCGTGAAGTGAGGACGGTGTTGGAGGGTCACTACAGCGAGGAGACTGCGGAGGAGGCTGATGGGATAGCGCAGGGTGGTGAGCAATTGGTGTGGTTTGGTGAGGCGGAGGAGGGACTTGAGGTTTAGTGGCAGCTTCGGATCCAACCACCATCACGTCTTGCTCTTCCTTGCGTTCCTCCTTGATCTTCATGTCATTCTTCACCTTCTGTAGCAGATCCCCTGAGCCGGTCTCCTTCCTATCCCTCTCACTTTCTTTCATAGGTGGCGGTTGTGGGATACCCATCTTGATTCCTGCATCGTTAAGGACATTTTTCGAGTACGGAGAGGTTGATCGGTGGACGGATTTAAGAGAGTCATCTGAGGAACGTCTGTCTGTGATTTCCTTTCCTGGAGAACGACTTTCCTTCACCTTTATGTCTCCCAAAATGCCTGGCTCTCGCTGGCGGTCCAGCAACTCTTTCTCTGGCTCACGGTTGCGGTCGGCACTACCGCTGCGGTGTCTGCCGGAGTCGTTCGAGTTCTGGCTGTTGGAGCGGATCAGGCTGCTGATCTGGTAGCTAACGGGAGCGGAAGCTGGAGAAGAGCGGTTCGAATGACGATTACGATCTAAAGAGTCTCTGTAAGAGGAAAGAACCCATCATTAGTTGAATTAGGAGACAAAAATTTGGCAAAATATAAAGCAAAAATAAGATGCCTTGGTCCATGAAATCAACAACACCAACCTGTCTTTATCCTTCTCTTCCTTCCCAATAGAAGAGTCCCTTTTGTCTCTTTCTCGTTCTTTTTCTTTCTCCCGCTCCCGCTCTCTGTCATGGCTGTTTGCAGAGCTGCTTCTTTCTGCATCTGCGGATTTGGGCCACTGTGGAGGGGTTGGGAAGGAGGGTGGTGTTCGGTGCAGCCGATTCCAGGTGTCATGATGAGGACTACTGAGACCAGGCAGCCCTGGACCCTCTTTGGGTCCAAATACACTGTTGGCCCCTGAAATAACAAGAAAGCATCATCAGTTGAACAGACCGCTGTTCAGTTCTGTCAAGGTTCTGCATACACAAGCTGAAAGGTTAATGGCGTATAGTAGTTTCTTCTACAAATGGGGTACCAAGGGCTGCTTTTGAGGGCAGTGAACAAATGAATGACCCGGCGGGGTCAAGAGCTATGAAAAGCAAAGCGTTCCATAGAGATTCTATTTCAGTACAATCAATTACACTAAAAGAAGTCCCGTTCAGCCAATGAAGGAAGAAGGGAGAGGAAATGAGATATGGCAAACCTTCCACCCTACTTTGCAAGCGACTAATGAATGCAAGAGCAATGCTAAACCAGTTGGGTTGCGAATTTGAGTTGGGGTGTGAATTTGGCAAAAGATTGTCTGCGGTAAGGCCTGCCTCCCTCGCTTCCCTAAACTCTCATTTGGCATTTGCTGCAAAGCTAAGTGCCTTTCTTTCATTCCCACCTCCTTTTTATTCCCTCTGCACTCTCTGTGGTCTAGAGCTAAGCTGTGCTGCACTGAGTCGAGCTAGAGGCCGGGGGCCGGGGCTTACCGAGGGTTGGGTTGCCTAATCCACCGAAGGCACTGCTTGAAAGGTTGCTGAGGCCGCCAAAGGTACTGGAGCGACTGAATGGATCTGCAAAATGCCAAACAGGGATTAGCGACGCGGGGCCGGAGGTGCCCGACCATTCCAACTGGCTTTTCTCTTACAAGCAAGCTTTGTTTTTTGCGTCACTGTTACTGCTGCTATTCTAACTCCCTAAGGGTTGTTTATTTCTCCCAGTAAGACTGTTGGAGAGTGTTCACTGACTGCGGATTAGGCAGCAAGAGGTGCTGGCATGAAGAGCAATACCTGATTGGGGTGCGATAGCCAGGGACATTTTGAAATGTCCGATGTGAAAAATTATTAAATGACAGCAAGCAAAACAGCTTGTGTGTCTCCGATCTCCTCTAGAGGTTTCTGTGATTATTCCATCTACTTACTCCTGAAGACATTAAACTATTTGTTCATACGTACCTTGCAATGGGTGAAGGAGCCCAAATCATTCATAGTTGTGCTTATAATTAAATTAAATACAAACAGACAACCTCCAGCCCACATAAGTAAAAAACACAATTCAGTGTTTTCTATGTGAAACATGAATTTAAACTCCTGATTCCAGAAATGGATTTATGACTAATCCATTTCATATTCATTTAGCACGTGCTTTTATCCAAAGCAACTTGAACTTACAATATACTAATTTACATAAACAATCCCCCTGAAGCAACCTTCATTTAAGTGCTTTGCTCAAGGGCACAACACTGCTAAGTTTTTGACTGAGAAACCTTTTGATTACCGGTCCTGATAAAACAGCTTGTGTGTCTCCGATCTCCTCTAGAGGTTTCTGTGATTATTCCATCTACTTACTCCTGAAAACATTAAACTATTTGTTCATACGTACCTTGCAATGGGTGAAGGAGCCCAAATCATTCATAGTTGTGCTTATAATTAAATTAAATACAAACAGACAACCTCCAGCCCACATAAGTAAAAAACACAATTCAGTGTTTTCTATGTGAAACATGAATTTAAACTCCTGATTCCAGAAATGGATTTATGACTAATCCATTTCATATTCATTTAGCACGTGCTTTTATCCAAAGCAACTTGAACTTACAATATACTAATTTACATAAACAATCCCCCTGAAGCAACCTTCATTTAAGTGCTTTGCTCAAGGGCACAACACTGCTAAGTTTTTGACTGAGAAACCTTTTGATTACCGGTCCTGAGCTTTCACCACTAGACAACACTGCACCCAATTCTGCATTTTACCCATTTTCTCTCCATTTCCTTTGGGCCCCAGCTGTTTATGAATTCAAATTGGACTCACTTAAAAGCTCACTGTGTGAAATCAGCATTCAGTTCCAAACTCAAATAACATATCTGATAGAAACAGTGGGGGAACACTATCTAAAGCCAGTAAAAAGGATACATAGTAAAATATTACTTTTACTATGTTTTGTTGTAACAAATCTGATAACAATAGGCTTAGAAGTGCCTCTCCAAAGGGAAGCCTTATGGTACGTTTACACAGCAACAATGTACTAAAAATGGAAAAGTTTGCGTTTTTGAAAAGTTTCTGACTAAAAACGCTGTATTATTATGCATGACAGGCTAGTAGTTGCCGATGTCACTTAGTAAAGAAACACTATGAGAATGTACACATACCTATAGACTGAACACGCATGCGCATGATGTCACCTTTTCACACATTTGCATTTTTGTAGTTTACAAGGAGATGATAATGGTATCATTTTCAAAAACGTGCACTTTGAAACCTGCTTTTAAAAGTTTGTGATTTCAAGTGCCCAAAACACTGTTGCTGTGCAAATGAAAGGGCAGATTGCATAAAATTTCTTTCAGTTTTTAGTCGAAAACATTGTTGTTACAGCAGATATTACATTATACTTGACAAACAAAAACAAAGCTATGAGGGATAGAAATACAGTATTTAAAAAAAAATGTAATTAGTAGAAAGACATGCTTTTATAGCTGAATGATCACCACTGAAGTGCAGCACTACAACATATGGAACAGATTGTATTTGCCTTATGTTCGCATCAAATAAAAGAGGGTCTTGACAATAATTTGAAGCACAAAAGTAAAGAGAGGAACTATTTAAAATGGCGGTTTACTTACACTTACCTGCCAAATGGCTAGGAGGCAGGAAGCCAGCGTGGTGAGGAGACGGTCCATAGGGTGAAGCAGCTGGATGTCCCGATCCTATTGAATACAACGGGAAAAATCATCAGTCAAACTGATTGCAGACAGAGTTAGCCAAACCATTCAAATATTCACCAAAACAGCACCAGATGTAGTCTCTTTATACACAGGGACAAGAGATGTCTTGGGTAATGATATCATGTGATTCATCATCTGTGTAGCCTAAAGCTTAAAAACTTCAGTCCCAAGTTTCATGGATGCCGTAGTCATTTATACTCAAACTTCATACTTGTTGGAAACTTCAGACTGGCTCTACCTTTGACTGGTAGCTAACACAAGAGCGAGGGTTATTTGAGAAGAGCCAGGTAAAAACCATTACACACCAAGTGAGTGAAAGCCATATAACACACACTGCAAAGACACACACGGTAACCACCCTGCTCAAGACCACAGTCTAAAGTTAACACAAAAGCCTCCAGCAGGTTATTGAGCCTGAGCCTCTTTGCATAATCCATTAGTGGAGAATGTGGCAGTGGTAGATTTCTCTGTCTGTCTGCAGTATAAATGCAGCTGTGCGGGATTTGAGAGCTCCCTGAATACTAATGGTAAGGTGATGCTGGGCTCTCAATCAGCTGCATTTCTGCAGTATACAGGAAATGGAGAATGATTTGACCCCATTCTTATTTGTTTTGGGACTTTTTTTTGCCCTTTTATTATCAGCAAATGTGACTGGAATTTATTGGGATAAAGAGAGGGGGGTGGGATTGAGACATGACCCATCCCAGATTTCACTCCGTCTCTGTCAGACGAGCATCCAAGGCTTAACATACCTGGAGATCATTTGCTAAACACTAGGGCTGACTTGGCAGGGTGTCTGCAGGATTTTTAAACTCAAATCTACCTTTTTTAAGACCTGCACAAAGTAAAATTACCACCATATGACTATGAGTGGGGTAGGGCAATGTCAATGGTAACATATTTAACTGTAAAATGACCGTAGAACGCATGATTTACAGTTCAGATACAGGTTTTCACCCAAAAAAAAAAAAAGTTTTATAAAATGCTAAACTTCACATTTCAGCCTTTAAACCTTTTTTGAAAAAATGGATGAGTCAAAAGTATTAATTATTATTATTAATTTAAACAATTATTATAAATCATTATATTAATTAAATAACATATAAATGTAGTTTACTGTCTTTGTTTAGATTTTTCTACATTTTCAACTCTGCGTGTTTGCTGCGTTAAAACATGGGTTGATTTTCGCATCAGTCTGAACAAAAACAGCAGACAGACTTTAAAAAAAAAAAATCTAAATTCATTCTCTGCCAGCAGGAGGCGCTTTCAGAACAGAAGAAATATAGCAGTTTCCCAATATGTACAAATTGTTCGCCTGAAATATGTGGCTTGTTGCCAAAGAACAGGTTTATTACCTGTGAAAACGACAGCCTGAACAGTATACCACGTTACATCTCCCAATTACTCAAATTTAATTAACTTTATTTTTGGTTAAAAATACATTTCAGTTTAAAAAAATCACTAGTCCTGTCCTGTAAGATTCTGGAGATGAAATTGAATTTCCATTCTCATAACTGAGCAAGACTTGAGACCAGTCCTTTGTTTTGCAGAACAGATCGATCTGGCCAACAATTAATATGTAGAAACTTTCACCAGGTGTTTTTTCTCTTACAGCTTGGATCTTTATGAGCCATATTTTTCAAATATTTTTGACTTACTGGTCTAAGCCACATGGGTCTCTTTCTCATTCTGCTCAAGTCAAAACAATTCTGCCTACCTTCCCACATGATGTGAATGCGTAGTTTTGAGGTCTAACCTTTGGCTGGAAGGCTCCTTGCAGTGAACTGAAGGGCCCTGAATGTGGAAGCAATGGAGGCATGCCTGGCATTGTTGGTGGATAGGAGGGAAAGAACTGCAGAGAAAAAAAAACAACAACGTAAATGTAAAGTTTACAAGACTCTTTGGTGTCTATCATCTCTTTAAGCTACAGCAACTTTTTATCCTGCTTTGAAAGCAACATCAAACCAAGCATGCTTTAAAAAAAACATGCAAATATGTCTCAAAAAGTGTACATAATCTGCTTCATCTTCAGTCAAAGCAAGGTTATGCAGTCAAAACAAACTGACACTTACATTTGAATGTCTCAAGAAAGGATTGTCCAGCTTTGGGGCGTACTTGTCGAACTATAAAGAGAGAGGGAGAGAAAAAGAAAGAAAGAGTGCACATTAAAAACATATCAACAAAATCAAAGGCATCTGTAACCAAAAACATGAGAGAGCTTTACTGCAGTGTGCTTACATAGTCAAACAAAAAACAGATGAAGCTCAAATAAATTACACCCTTTTAATAAAACAATTACACAGTGAAACAGCCATTCAATGTCACATGAAAGAAAACCACTGCAGCCGCAACTGGCACAGGCTTCATAGAGCCGACCCAGAGTGTGGGAATACGCTCACAAAAGAGGCAAACCAGATCGCTAACCAAATGAAGGCACCCTTCACTTCCAATTAAACAGACGTGAGCCATATATTACGTGGCAGTGTCCTTTACAGTTAAGAAACATATACAGATCAGTACGTCTTTCAAGGCAAGCTCTAATTTTGAAAATTTGAGAGTAAAGCTAGCAGTGTAACTATATGATAAACAATTACAGTAAGCATGCTAATGTTGTGAGATTCTGTATTTGCGGAGTCAGGACTCATAAAGAAGCGAGAAGGGCTGAAATGGTTCATTTTCATTCATATAAATGTAATGGAAATAAAACGTCATTTCTGTAGTCATTTCAGTTGTACATGTTTTTTTCATCCCTGTAATAAAACAAATTCATCCATAAATGTTTAAAAAACAAACAAACATTTTTAAACTTTTTTTTGTAACATTTTAACCCAGCATCTTTGTCACCTTAATTCCACTGGCTTGAGTTTTTATCACTCAGCCGAACACTGTAAATTCAGCGCTGCTTTTAAAACAAAGTAATTGCTACTGAGTTCAAGGCATTTCTTTTACATAAACACTGAAATCCTTTACAAACCCCCTTATATAGTGTTGTTTCTACAGAAGCCTGTCGTCTTATGTCTCAGGTGGTGGTAATAAAAGTGGATAAACTCTTAGGCCACACTGTGTGTGTTACTTTGAAAAGCAGCCCACTCATGGTACAGACTTTATACTCCAACAGATCAGAAGGCATAAGCTGCTTTTATCCTGCATCGTATGAATGTGTGGTGATAATTAGCCTAAATCAAATACATGAGGTTGCCCTGGCTGAGAAAATCGCTGATCTGGCTTCCCTGCGTGCTGCACTTCTGTGATCCTTCTGAGAGCCACACGCCTGCTTTATGGTTAACACTTGCCGAGTAAATACAGCAAAGGTTTATAGTGGCCCATAAAAACAGTGCTTCATAATTCACAGCTTTATAACAAACAGCTTTGGCAAATCAAGGTTCAATATTACATCTGTAAACAATTCAATCTTTATATAAGAAAAGCTGGGAGGAAGGGAAAAAAGAAAACAAGACAGACATTATATGAAGTGTTATGTCAACATGAAATGGAAATAGTTTTTTTTTTTTTTTGGAATAACACACCAATGAATCATGCACAATAAGACCAGAAACATGTATAAAGGAAGCAAACTGGGTTATTTCTGGGTTCATGTTGACTTTAAAAATGACATTTATACTGTTTTTTTATTGATCCCAGTAGACAACAACACTGCTTCCTATGCAAAAGCTCTTAAACCAAGCAGAAATGCTTTAGAAATCAAGCATCAGTACACTTGTCAGTAGAAAACATCACACTTAAATCACATGGTGGTGAAAGAAATTCAACAATAGCTGTTCAGCAAATAAGATTTGTATCTCATAAAACATTTGGGGAAGGTGTGGAGGTGTGTTTGTGATTCAGCACCAGAGATAAGATGCATAACCAACATTTCCATCGCTATATCAGTCTTTCAGTTTCAGTTCTGCAACCCACAAACAAATCCGGACAGCGAGCTACAACACATATGGCATGTTTTAAGATGGTAATCTATGATTCAAAAATGCTTGACTTTTCATCTAGCACTCTTGACATAATATCTTTCGGATTGGTTGACAGTGGCGATAGCATGCAGATAAGACGTTCTTGTTCCTGTCCGAATACGTTTCAGATATCTGAATGCATTTCATATGGCTAGCTGACTTTGAGGAGCTGAACTTATCTGATTACAGGCTGCCAAAGTTTGCCTCTAATAGCCGCTTTGCACACGGAAGCAATTACGCTTTATCAAAACAACCCCATTGATGTCATGACTTTCATTCGAGGTGAGGTCATTATGTTTCGACCGCAAGCTTTGAATGTGTCACACAGAATGAGTTCTGTCTGTACCTCAGTCACGCCATACGACCCCGTCTGCCTCCTGTTTTTCTCAAACAGCCCCCAGCACTCAGAAACATCACCCTTCTGCTCATATGAAAGCAATAAAACATCTCTGGCTCGCACTATTAAAGCGCAATGAGTATGGCATGTCAACATGGCAGCAAAAAGGGTTTTTATTAGGGGAAGAGCTACAATATTTGTGGTTGTCATGGGACAATCATTTATCTAGTTAGGATTATGGGTATCGGTTATGTCACTGAGATGGTGCTATAAAACTGTTTCAACCCCATGGCCTCTGTTTAAGATCTGGCCTGGTTTAAGATAAGCCTTAAGTCTCTGTAGTGGGTTGTAAACACTATTACTTCACTATTATATAACAGTTAGTTCCGGTGCTCTAGTATCACCACCCTGCATCATATTTGCTGAATGAAATCCATTGCTTGTTTCTTACTAATTTTGGGATGCTGATTCCAAAAATAGTGCCTGTTCTGCTCTAGCACGTCATGCTTTCTCACAAAATATGAAGTGCATTTTGTGACATTTTTGCTTTTGACAGCCATTTGTAAGGTGAAGTCTTGTATTATCCCTTAATCACCAAAAAGACTGCCATAAAGACATGATCCCTGTCTTCCTCTGAACCAGGTTACAACTGTTTGTTCAATTCTCAGCTGATTTTTACATGTATGAATGATTCCTAAGACGTTATGTTATGCCTAATCTTTTACGCCTAATTTCAAGGTTAGAATTATGGCCAGTGATGGAAAAAAGCAAATTTAACTATAAACGTGTGTTTATGTAAAGTTCTTTGCCATTAAAGGGAGTATATGAACATATTTTTGGAGTATATGAACATTTTAAGTAAAATTTTACATTCTGAATTAGGGCTGTGCGATTAATCGAAATCGTCATAAAATCGCGATTTGAGCTTGCGCGATTTCTAATTCGCTTTATAGCACGATTTTCCGCACCCCCGACCTCCCGCAGTCTGCTATCCGAACCAATCAGAATGCAGCGCGCCTAAATGGAGCAGGAGAACAGAACAGACCGGGCGGGCATACAAACGTAACGCCAGGTTCACACACTCCGTCTGTGGTGCGTTTTTTTCCGCGCCCATGTTAACAGATCAGAGCGTTCACACTGCACGCGATTGCGGTCCGGCAGTGCGCTCCAGGAGCGGTGTGTCTGCAGCAGTCATGCTGTGATCGTTTCCGCACGGAGTCTATTTCTGCTGTGCTGCACGCGCTGAATTAAACTGACCGCATTATTCACGGTAAAAATTAACATGGATTGACACGGAAATTTTGTAATTACACCATAAATGCATATAATTAAATTCTACTGTTTCACAGTCAACAGATGGCTTTTTGGCTAGATTTAAAACAAGGAAAGGTGCACTTTTAGATAAACAAGGCAATAATAGATGGCATTCGTGGTGGTAGTTAAACAAAGTTATATTTATTGAGTTTAAACGTGAATATGTCTATGAAAGATTGTATTACTGTACTGTGATAAAAGAGAATCACAATGCTGTAAAAGCATTTTCAGAAACAACGTTTGGATTTGAAATCAAAGTAATGGATAAATGTTGTGTTTGTGGTAAATAGCCGCCGGATCAGGAGCGGACTGCAAACGCGTCCTGTGCGAAAGCAAAATGAGTCCCTGGACACGGGATTTTAATTTTTTTCTGCCGTGTCTATTCTAGAGACATTTTGTTACACCTTTACTTAGTGATTATTTTGCCCTATGTCTGTTCTAGAGACATGTTACAGCTTTTTGATAAAGCTCTAATTGGTTTTCTTTTTTGAAGACACTGAATGCATTAATGACTGTAAAGCATGTCTGTGTGTGTCAAAATCGTGATTCAAATCGAAATCGCAAAATTGATCAAAGAAATCGCGATAGTTTTTTTTTGTCCATATCGCACAGCCCTATTATGAATACTTTTGTCATTAAAGCCAAAAAATGCCATTTGACTGTGCATTAAAGCTTTTAAAAATCATTATTATTTTGTAAAAAAAAAAAAATCTGTACGTGATGTATTTATAAATTTTTTTATATTTTTGAACTCAGCATCATCAAATTATGCAATAATAGGCCTTTTTAAAAAAATTTAAGATGCAGGGCTGTTATGATGTGACTGAATGTGGTTCCAAATAGGCCGCCAGTCTGTGCGTTGCTGTTACACGTTAACTATGTTGGCTTTTCTTGGAACTATTTTTGACAACTGAGATAAAGGTAGATTAAATAACTGGCCATATTGTGTCTAAAAATTTTGTCATTAAAGCCAAAAAATGCCATTTGACTGTGCATTAAAGCTTTTAAAAATCATTATTATTTTGTAAAAAAAAAAAAAATCTGTACGTGATGTATTTATAAATTTTTTTATATTTTTGAACTCAGCATCATCAAATTATGCAATAATAGGCCTTTTTAAAAAAATTTAAGATGCAGGGCTGTTATGATGTGACTGAATGTGGTTCCAAATAGGCCGCCAGTCTGTGCGTTGCTGTTACACGTTAACTATGTTGGCTTTTCTTGGAACTATTTTTGACAACTGAGATAAAGGTAGATTAAATAACTGGCCATATTGTGTCTAAAATATACGTCACTCGTGCTTCTCATGATGTGGCCGTGCTTATATTCAGTACGACAACACGACTGCGGGTGTCATTTAGTGGAAAAACAGGACGGGTGCATAGAAGGGGCTTGTTTTTTATAGGCCGGGGTATTTTAAGGGGGAATAGGGAGGTAGGAAGGGAGTAAAATCTATCTGTTTTTACTTATCCTCACATTTCTGGCTGGGGTACGCACCATGGGAGGTGCAGTGGGCGGCCCAATGATGGCTGCCGGGGGCAGACTGGCAGGGAAGGGCGTGAAGGTGTGCTGATGCATGTGTTGGTGCTGGTGCATATGCTGATGTTGGTGAAACTCGGCTCGGAGGAGCGACACAGGGGCCAACGGCGACCCTGTGGCCCCCGGCGCCGCCCCCCGACCTCGCTCCGAGCTCTGAACCAGGAAGCGGTTGTTCAGCTCCTGCCGCAGAAGATCATGCTCTGCAAGAAAGGAGAGCGAAGGGGAAAAAGGCGGGAAAGGGGGGAGATGGGGAAGACACGGGAGGGAAAAGAAAAAAAAAGGCACGGGCGGCCAGTGAGTTTTCACAACAGCGGTAGGAAGAAGCGAAAGAGGGTAGTCACCTGGCTTTCTCTGTTTCTCCAATTCAAGGTGTGAGGGTTTTCTACGTGAGGACTCATTGGTGGAGGTAAGAGAGTTGCCTGTGACAATGTGCCAATCAGAATCCCCGAATGAGGCTGGCAATACATGATTGGTTGGTTGAAAGATATCAAGAGGCTGGTATCTAAAGACAAGAGAGAACCAAGAGTCACCTCAGCAGAAAACACACACACACTTGACCCGACAAACATAAACTCTTATACGGCCTTAAAGGGATCGTTCACCCCAAAATGAAAATTACCCTCATTTTGTTCCAAACCTGAATGACTTGCTCTCTTCTGTGGAACACAATCAAAACTGTTTTCAACACACCGACTTATATCGCATGGATAAAAAATAATAATTATTATAAAAGAAGAAACAAATGCATACAGGTTTGCATACAAAATTTTCATTTTTGGGCAAACTCTCCCTTTGAGACCCTTCTTAAAATTTAAGAAACTCTTCAAGCAATTGCTTGATGCTTAAAAAAGACATTAATATATACTTTTAGTTTAGAGTCTAAATGAACATTGAACAAAAACAGTACTTTTGGTACTATTGCAATGACTTGAGCCATGTGTTTACCAAAGGTTTACACCGTAGAGTGTATAAAACTGCTATTTTTTTCTTGTTTAGATTTAGATCAGCATGTAGCTTTAAAATGCCTGGAACTGGAACAAAAAAATACACTTACCGCATAAAGAAAGGCTGAGATGAAGAGGACAAGTATAATTTTCATCTCACATTTTGCATTTAGTGTAAATTGTATCAAAATCTGATTGAACTGTCAAAGGCAAAATAACAGCCAATAAAACAGAAGTTTACTGCCCGAGACACAGGATCCAGATATTAGAAATGAACAGTATAGCTGACATCCTTTTTTTATTACAGGCATCATATACAGAAGAAAAATGGGCCAACTGGATATAAGTCACATATTTCATATGCTGACCTCTGATGCGTGCCCCATTTCTCCTCACTCTTGAAACATCTTGAAAAGAATGCAATTTAAGAGCAATGCTGTTGTTACTGAATACTTGATCCATAAAGCTGTCTTTAACATGGGTTATTTGTCAACAAACAGAGCAATTTATGCTTTACACCAAACTATTTAAAGCACAGGAACTGTAGGAAAGGTCCTTACATTTGTGGGAACCAAATTAGTTTTTAAGACTAGCACTACACTAAATATGCTAATTTAAAACAGGATGAATTTTGATGAACAAACAATGTATATAGTCACGTACTCTCATTTCTATCATGCACTCATTTCTTAGGTCTAAGTTAAAAAATGTATACCCTTAGTGCACTTATGCACTAGAGAAAGCTGCAAAGGAGCCTTTGAGGGACAAAAACTGGGTATAAAACTGGACCCTAGGAAATTTTATGTCCAAGTGCAAGTTAAGATTTTTTGCAGCCGTCTCTGGTGCAACTCCAGCATGTACGCACCTTTATGCAAGTGATATATTTGAATTAATTTGTCATATTACAGAACTGAAGAAACCTATTGTCCAAAATATTCTCAAATCTCATACTAACTATGCCAGAAACAGTTTAAATCTCAATGAAGGGGTTCTCACCTGGATAGGGTGGTCCGGCAGGGTGTCCTGGCACCACCAGGCTGTTGGTCGGTAAGGTGGGTGGAGGAGGCAGTGTAGCAGGGTTGGCGAACATGGCCGGATGGCTGGAGAGGTGAGAGGGCGAGTGAAGGGAGTAGTGGGAGGAGGGCAGACCGGCTATGGAGAGAGGAAGAGGAGGAGCAGGAGACGGGAGGCCGCTGAGGTGATGAGGGGAGTGAGGCAGGTGGTATTTTGGAGGAAGCGTGGAAGGGTTGTTGCTGTGATTAGAAAGGAAAGACAGTATATGAGAAACAATATTGATATTAGGGCAGCTTATGAACTTATAGCTGTCAATTGTCAGGTTTTATATTGTTTTTGTTGTGAGAAAAACAATATTTAACTATGTAAATATAATAAATACAATTACATATATATATATATATATATATATATATATATATATTATTACAATTAATAGCAAAATGAATGGAAATGGAAATGGAAACTGATATTTCCTACTGACACACTATAGCAAAAGATAACTGAAATAAGATAAAGAAATAACGGACTTAAAACCATTTTTAGCTGGTGAAAATACTAGTGTTCTAATAATTTTGGTCACCACTGTATGAAACATAGTTTTTTTTGTACAGTGGTGTGAAAAAGTCTTTGCCCCCTTCCTGTTTTTTTTTTGCCTATTTGTCACACTTTTACTAACCTGATGTCGTGAAGACTGCTGTATGGCGAAGGATGATGACGGTGACTGATGACTGGCTGGCTGTGGTGCAATGGGGGCGGGACTCTGTGCTCCAGTGAATGTGATTGGTTCCTCAGGAGGGACGGGGTGGGGTTAGGGGGCACAGATTCCTTCTTGATAGCGAGAGGGTTCGTGGAGAGCGGGTGCGGTCTAGGCGCGGGCGCTGCCGCCGCAGCAGGGGCAGGAGACCCCGTAGGGGGCGACGCTGGAGTCGGACTTGAGATCGGCGGGACAAACGAAACGTCGTTACTCTGTTCCTGGCTACGCTGAAGGCCAGACACTTTGGTCGAGCTGGAAGTTTTGGACCCGAGATTCTCATTCGTTGGTGTCACTAGAAAAAAAGAGAGACACAAAGAGAGTTTAAAATCTGGATTTGTATTTATTTCATTTCTGTATTTAATTCAGATGTCAAATGCAGTTTAGATGCTTTTATTGATATACAGTAGCTGGGGGGTATTTAAGACCTCAGGTATTTAGAAATAAATCATGCAATTCTTCCAATTGTAAAGACCAGACCACACCACAGGATAGTGAAAATGCCATAGGGTTTTTTTTTTCTTTTTGCTCAGGTGCACGGGAGCATCTCAAATCAAATGCACTTGCAGTTTGGCGCAGCTGTTGACATGTAAGCTATAGTGTGGGATTGGTTTGCCAATCCATCCATTAGGTTGCAGCAGTGTGAACAGAAACCAGCTGCGATGTCTTCTTCACCCACTGTGCATAACGCTGGCATACGCCAAGACACCAAAAGCATCCACATCTGTCTGACTGTCTTTCGCTCTGTGCCTTATCTTTCTTATCCCCCCTTTATCGTTTCATCCCAGGTTTCTTTTCTTTCTTTCTCCCTCCATGGGTTTTATGAAGTGTTTAATCAGGTCATTTTCATGCTTGACTATAATCAGATGATCCAATTTTCTGCAAGCAATCCAGTCAGAATGAATAAATCAGAGCTAATTAAAGTTAAATGCCGTTCCCATTCATAGATTTACAGAGCACACAGTCTGCCATGAAATAATTATGTTTCAATTGTGCTGTGAAAAGGGATCATGCACCCTTTATACTGGCCTTTCAGAGTCCCCCCCTCGCTCGCTCTTTCTTTCTCACAAGATATTTCCAGGGATTTCGGTAACACTGCCAGAGTCTTTGTACAGAGGAACTTCTGTTTTTGCTCAGTTAATCGGAGCACAGTGCAAGAAAAAAAGCTTTTAGACTCAGCATTTTACAGACTATAGTCATTCAACATGTAAATGCCCAGTAAAATAATTAAGAGTTAAGAAAAGGATGGTGCATCATAAAATCCATCTATACATATCCAGACTCAATCCAATAGCTAGTGTACACACTAGAGCTGCACGATAAATCGAATGCGATATTTAATGCGCATCTTTAATGCGTATTTGAAGCCAGTTCTGTAATCAGCGGTAAATCTCCATCACATGCGTGCTTTCACATGGAGCAGCATTAACTACACAGAGCCTATTATATTTATGATATTATATTTATATCACCAGTTGGTCAATCTGCTCTCTAGGAATCATTATTGACAAACCCATTTCAGTCGACCACTGAATGTAACCAAAAACCGCAAGGGACCGTAAAGATTGAGAATCTATCAAGGAAAAGTCCATACTGATCAACCACTTACAGAATATAACACTGATATTAACACTGGTAAATATTATCATTAGCAAATCTTAAAATTAAAATGTGTTGTTCATACTTTGAAATATAATATTGTGATACCTAAATTCACTTTTAAAAGCATTTAAAACAATTTTTTTCATTCATTCATCCATCATAGCATAAAATGTTAATATTAGCCAATTATTGCATAAAAACACTCTATTGGCATACACCTGTTTCATCCCTATTTGATTGCCAACAGTGAGCACAGAAGGGAAAGATGGAGAGTAGAGAGTAATTTAAGACAATATCTTCCATAGGCCACTAATTAGTACATTTAATGCAGTCCTCATTCCTAACAGCTTAGTGCAACCTCAAACAAAGACTTTGAAAGCCTGCAGGCCATTAAAACCTCAGACCGGAGCTCCTAATGGAATATCTGCGCTGTATTAATACAGCACTTAATCATTAATGGACACCGATAATTGAGGGATAAAAACGCTAGCTTGAGTTCTTGACATATTTCTCCCCTGCCGAATGTGACGCACCTCCTAAATGAGCCCAAACAGAACATGTTCTTACGAAGAAAACTGTCCTTTTAAGCGTGTAGGTGGTGGAGCTTGTCTGCTTTTGCAGCTCTGGGTTGGCTTTTGAAGGTTTTCCGGAAACGGCAGTGGTTAGGATTTGTCGGGCAGAGCCTCGTACAAGATTAGCGCGAAATGAGAACTTCTACCCAATTGCTCGGAAAGGTCTAAACAGATGCACTCACGGACAACCCCGTCTTGCTTGCCTTTTCCTACAAAGCACAGAGAAGAAATACGTCGCCCGTCGGTGACGTTGCCTTGGAAACCGGTCTCCGAGGCACGTTTGTGTGGTGAAAGCGGACAGTGGTAGTCAGGCTCCTCAGCTAGCGGTCCGTGGCACTTTAGGCACAACGGGCCCTGCGCTCTCTCTTAATGATGATTCTAATGGGCCATAATGGCAGCCAGCAGGCAGGACAAGACATACAAGCTTGGCTTCTTTCTCATTAAAAAAGTGCCCTGTGAATGTCTCGGCTCGTCTGGATGCCTGCTGTACGTAACGAAGGGACTTCTTCCCAGTCTGGAATGTGGCCATAATCATTTCGCACAAAATGTGACACAATGCCATTCGAAATGAGCGCCGGGCAGCCGGTGTGATGTCACGCTGCTGCCAGTGGCGGTGCTTGTCTTAGCACGGGCGAGGTTGTCACCTGCGAAATTCTTGTCAATTTTTGGTTGCGGTACATTGTTAACGTGTCAGCCTCACTGTAGGCACATCAGAATAGTGATAGGGCAAGTTGCCACATAAAAGATGTATGGCTTTCAATTTTCTCAAAACATTCCATATCGTGACTGTTGGCCCTGAAATTCTGCCTTAGGAATCTTTTAACGAGAAGACAGTGTCAAATAAACTTGTAACTCCTTTAACTTTCGTTTCTGACAACTGACAGGCCTCAAGGCAGAAATATTTTTCGGAGACAAACAAGACCTCATTATCCAACACCGAGGTCAGTGATAGATTTACTGTGCCCGCCCGCTAACAACAAAACCTCACAACACACCAACTTCAGTGTAAATGCTTACCCATTCAAACATTGCCACCGTGATTTTAGGGTCTTGGATTGCTGCTTGCTAGGGGTTCAAAGTAGTTTTAGTGTATTGCTATTACTAGGGTGCTGCTAGGCTAAAAATTCTGTTAGATATGGCTCGTTCTATGGACTATTTTCACTTACTTTATTGTCCACTAGGCAAAAATCATCATTTTGATTGCTTAATTACGAAAAGTTAAACCAAAACTATTTCTAACAAGTTTCACAATTTAATATTTCATAGCCATAATGGTACATTCACAGATTACCTTTTGCAAATACCCTGAGGTGCAGACACTAGCCAATCGCGTTCATGCAACACCAGAAAACTAATGTGATTGGCTGTTGTCACTCAGACACGCCCTCCATTAAGCGTCGATGCCGACACCCCGTGTTAATGTACCGTAACACAAAATAAATAAAGCAAGTATAACACAAATGGTACGGCAAAATAAAAAAGCAAAAACAAATGATTATTACTAATCTATTATTATTAAAATAAAGCATGTGTTCGTGTTATATCAACACAAATGGTGCAGCAAAATAAATAAACATGATTTAATCATCATTATTATTATTAAGATAATAATACTACTAATAATAATCATCATCTCAATAAATATGAATAATATTATGAATTATTTGTATTAATAAAACAAGGCATGTGTGCTATAACAGCACAAATGGTGCAGCAAAAGAAATAAAAAATAACTATTGTTATTATTATTTTGAAGAAGAAAGAGGAGGATGAGGAGGGAAGGAAGAGAAAAAGAGGAAGAAATATGATCAGGTGTTTGTTCAAATAAGAATAGTAATGATAAATAGAGTTGGTAACAATTTCAATAATTTAACAAGGACTTCTTGCCATGCCATTGTATGCCTTACAGTGCTCAAGCTTCGAATAGAACAGCATTTTTAATCTGTAACATAGAACAGGCAACAAAAGAGACCCTTAAGATTGAGTGAAATCACAGCAGAACTATTAGACACACAGACAAGAGCGCCCACAGATTTGTGGAGGTCAAAGGTCGCATTCTGAGGAGGGAGTGACACTCCCTTGGGACGTGTTGGCATCCCTGTTCACCAGATGACACTTCAGCAGACTATTGATCTATCCTCTCCCCCTGCTGCTTCTCTCATGGTACAATCTCTCAAGGGACTCTGGCCTCAACACGTGCCTACTGCGGTAGAAACCACTAGCAGTGACGGTAGGGGTGTGCATACTCATGACGGATGGTTCTAGCAGAGGCAGGGTGACCCCAGCTTCGCCCCACAACTGTCCCACTAAGATATCCTTGACCTCGGACCTCATTTCAGGCTCAGACAGCCGTCTTGGAACATCTGGAGAGCTGCCGTACTATAGCCATTACACACACACCGACATGGAAGAAAGTGTAGACAGATGGCTGTAGCTTCCAGAGAAAATTCTTTCCAGGGTTCTGAAAAAGTGTCTCATATTACAAGTGACTTTTCTAATCTACTTATCATCAACAGTTGTGTAACTAATAGCAAGGAAATGAATTTAATGACAACTAAATCATCAGCATTTAATATACAGGCAGACACATTGAGTAAAAACTTCCCATGAAGATGTTCATGACTATCACAATTAAGTACATATTTCACTAGTAATGGGACAGTTTATACTTTGGCGGTATGAAATTGCGGGAAAGTAATGGCACAAAATCATAACAGTGTGCCTTGCAGGGCTGGGCATCATTTAGATCGGAATTTGACAACTCCTTTTAAAATGTACATTTCGGAATTTGAATTCAATTTGAAAAACAACAAACATGACTCAATTCTAATTTGAAATTACACTCCAAAAAGCCCTCTAAAAATATGCCCCAATGTACTGATTTGAAGGAATTTTCTATAATGATTTTTCACAGGTGTTTTCCCTAATATTTAGCCAGAAAAGCCAAGAAAAAATCTTGGCTTGACAAAGCCTTGTTTAAAAGTTCTACACTTTTTAAAAAGCCTTTCGAGAGACGGAGGAATAGAACGACAGACAGAACGATAGATAGATACAACGATTATAGATGGATGGGTCACTCAACTTAGAGAGAGAGAGCGAGAGCGAGAGAGAGAGAGAGCGA